GGGGCTCTGGGAAGGTTTGGGCCTGGAGAGAATGCCAGGTATCAGTTCAGTTCAGTCACTCACTCAGCTGTGTCCGACTCTTTGCAGCCCCATGGGCTGCAGCACGCCTGGCCTCCCTGTCCATTACCATCTCATGGATCTTGGTCAAACTCATGTCCATTGAGTTGGTAATGCCATCCAACCATCTCATCTTCTGTTATCCCCTTCACCTCCTGCTTTCAATCTTTCCCAGCATTAGGGTCTTTTCAGATGAGTCAGCTCTTTGCATCAGGTGGCCAAAGTATTGGAGCTTCAACTTCAGCATCAGTTCTTCCATTGAATATTCAGGACTGATTTCCTTCAGTATGGATTGGTTTGATCTCCTTGCTGCCCAAGGGACTCTCAAGAGTCAGGGATGGACTCAGAAGCTTAAGGCAGCGCTGGTGTGGACCCAGTGTGGACCCATATCAGACCTGAGGCTTGACGATGAGGGTCACTACAATTTATTGCTCACACACTTATAAAATTATTGTGGCAGAATATCAAGCAGGAATGCTCTTGTCGGTAAAGGGGTACCATTAATAATGCTGGGACACCCAAGCTCTGAGGGTAAACTGAGGCAAGTGGTTACTTTACCTGCTGACCCTTGTCTTTTTCAGTTGCCTGTCTTGTTTCTGGTCTCTCCTTTTCTTGCTTGGTACATTCAGACCTTGTTGGACGCACGTGGCTTGGCACAGCGTAGCTGAAGCTGTGTGGGTTGCTGGGTTCAGAGAGTCATGGTGTGTAAATAGTATGGTGTGAAACCATACACATGGCTCCCATCAAAGCTTTTAGACAAAGAGGCCATGTGACATTATGTTTTAACATATGCGTGTGTTTGTATAATCACACAATTTATTTATCTATGTAAATATTATTTCTTACATATGAGGACATTGTGCACAGAGAGAACAATTTCTGAAGCTAGGTCTCTGTCGCCAGATAGTAGCAGAGATAATTCCTACCTCTCCTTTAGACATTGTTTTAAAACTATGTTTATAGAGAATCATGTTTATTTGATAATTTTGATTATCAAAATTTCAGAAGTTTAATGATCAAGTGATATGCCTTCTTCAAGATGCTTATTAGTTCTGGAAAGGTAGAGAAGTATGTCTAAAAAAAAATGGGTACCATTAATAATGCTGGGACACCCAAGCTCTGAGGGTAAACTGAGGCAAGTGGTTACTTTACCTGCTGACCCTTGTCTTTTTCAGTTGCCTGTCTTGTTTCTGGTCTCTCCTTTTCTTGCTTGGTACATTCAGACCTTGTTGGACGCACGTGGCTTGGCACAGCGTAGCTGAAGCTGTGTGGGTTGCTGGGTTCAGAGAGTCATGGTGTGTAAATAGTATGGTGTGAAACCATACACATGGCTCCCATCAAAGCTTTTAGACAAAGAGGCCATGTGACATTATGTTTTAACATATGCGTGTGTTTGTATAATCACACAATTTATTTATCTATGTAAATATTATTTCTTACATATGAGGACATTGTGCACAGAGAGAGCAATTTCTGAAGCTAGGTCTCTGTCGCCAGATAGTAGCAGAGATAATTCCCACCTCTCCTTTAGACATTGTTTTAAAACTATGTTTATAGAGAATCATGTTTATTTGATAATTTTGATTATCAAAATTTCAGAAGTTTAATGATCAAGTGATATGCCTTCTTCAAGATGCTTATTAGTTCTGGAAAGGTAGAGAAGTATGTCTAAAAAAAAAAGTGATTTGAAGTTTAAAAAGAGGAGGAGTAAGGTGTAAAACATGGTATTGTATAAAATACTTAAAGAACCTTTTTGAATGTTTGCATGTTACTGGGAAGTGACAGTAAAGGTGAGGAAGCTGCTTTTGAAGAGATTCTATCGAGTGAATTTCTTGACTCTCCTGCTGTGTGCCTGCACGTTGTGGGGTGCACAGAGAAGGTCTGTTAGCTTGTCAGTGGTGCTCACCGCAGTGATGGCAACATTAAAAGCACATTTGCAGAACACAGCCAGTGGATCAGATTTCTTGCCCGCTCCTGTGTGTACCTGGCATTGTTGTATTCACAGATAAAGTGATCAGCCTCTGCATTTAGACTTTTCACTCTTTAGAAGAAGAAAAGAGATCATATACTCGATCAAGGATGCTGATGCCAAATTCCAAAAGGAAATTTGAACACAGTGTTTCAGAATTTGTAGGAATTAGGAAGACAAGAGAGGACTGGGGAGAAATCCAACAGGGAAGAGTAGAAGGAAACCATTAGAAGTGTTGATTTTGGCTTTTTTATCTAGTTAGTTTTGCTATTTTACTTTTTTTAAAAAAATAAAAGAACTCTTGCTGACCTCATGTCTTTTCACACCTCTCATTATGCCTTATGATGAAGAGGCAGTAACCACGAAGCAGGAGACTTTAAGGAAACAAGTGGTCACTGCCCATCAATTTTTATTTCTTTCCGCTATTTACATTCGTAGCACCACGATTACTGTTTTCAGTGAAGACCCAGAGTTATTTAAAAAAAATACTACACTTCTTTTACAAAGGTGAGGGCATAGGTAACACGTTTTTCATTCTAGGAAAGGTGGTTATTCTTCCTAACTTTGTTCTAGAGAGCCCAATGAAACAGGAATTAAATTGGATTTCCTGTGTATATCTTTACTGGTTTAGGCTTGCATGTACAGTATTCCATTTTTCTGTTTGAATACATTTTTTTCCGTTTTACTTGAAATAGGACCCAGTGGGATATTATGAGTTACCATGTATGTAAACTTCATTAGTCCCTCTTTAAAGAGAAAAGAAATTCCTCCCTTGTTTACTGTTCTTTAACTCATCCCCTTTTTTTTTTTGCCACACTATGTGGCATGCTGGGTCTTAGTCCCCTGACCAGGGATCAAACCTGTGCTCCCTGCTTTGGGAGCTCAGAGTCTTAATCACTGGACCACCAGGGAATTACCCCCTGCCATTCGCTATTATTAAAGAAACGTCATCTAAGATTTACTCATGGTCTGTTGTGTATATTTATCAGTTGCTTTTGGCCAATATTAAATGAATTTGGGTCATATTTTCATATAATATTGTATTATTTGCATTTATAGGAAATGTTAAATGTCACTATTGAAAAGGTGCATTATACCTTATTTCTTGAACGTTTAGTTTAAAACAACTGTAATGCTTTTCTTTTAAAAAAGGTTTTAGAGACATCATCAGACCTTTGAGGTCCCATGTCCTCTGTCTGCATGCCTCCCGTGCCTCATTCACACTTTAAACACAGCCAGAGGTGTAGCTAAGTCATCCTGTTCTTCTTGACATAGTCATTTTCTTATGATAAAAATGGTGCAGCTGATGCTTATATTAATTTCAGACTTTTCAGCTTGGCTGGGGCATCATGTTTGACACCTTTCAAGACTCCTTATGAGAAAGAAGCAAATAATCATAAAGAAAGGCATTTTAAGAAGTCATGAAAAAGTGGGACTGAACATAGTACACTTTGATCATAGAGACAAAATGGGCCAGTTTTTGGCCTGGGGTTGATCAAAAGCATACTCTCTGTATGTGTAATCAGATGGTTAGTTAACACTTTCTCAGCAAAAACATAACATGACTTGTAGGAAGAATATACATCATTTCAAAATCATAGTTTTTTTGATTTTTTATTTTATTTTATTTATTTTATTTTATTTATTTTTTTCCCATTTGTTTGTTTGGTTTATGTATATTATACCAGTATATTTCTCATTTGTAGTCTTTCTATCCAGTCAGTCTCGTTAGAACTTACATATCAGGAGGTTTAAATGTTTTAAAAGGATTTCTTTTTTTACTGTTACTGCTGGGGGATTAAAGGAGAAAAAAAAGTTAAATCTGCTTTATATAGGTCCTGATACATGAATGTTGACAATGTCTTATCATAAAATCTTATCAACACTTTATTGGGACCGTTGAGTAATGGTGACCTGATAACAGTAACAACAGCTATAGAGAGAATAATGTCTTTTTTTTTTTTTAAGATTTACTCATGGTCTGTTGTGTATATTTATCAGTTGCTTTTGGCCAATATTAAATGAATTTGGGTCATATTTTCATATAATATTGTATTATTTGCATTTATAGAAAATGTTAAATGTCACTATTGAAAAGGTGCATTATACCTTATTTCTTGAACGTTTAGTTTAAAACAACTGTAATGCTTTTCTTTTAAAAAAGGTTTTAGAGACATCATCAGACCTTTGAGGTCCCATGTCCTCTGTCTGCATGCCTCCCGTGCCTCATTCACACTTTAAACACAGCCAGAGGTGTAGCTAAGTCATCCTGTTCTTCTTGACATAGTCATTTTCTTATGATAAAAATGGTGCAGCTGATGCTTATATTAATTTCAGACTTTTCAGCTTGGCTGGGGCATCATGTTTGACACCTTTCAAGACTCCTTATGAGAAAGAAGCAAATAATCATAAAGAAAGGCATTTTAAGAAGTCATGAAAAAGTGGGACTGAACATAGTACACTTTGATCATAGAGACAAAATGGACCAGTTTTTGGCCTGGGGTTGATCAAAAGCATACTCTCTGTATGTGTAATCAGATGGTTAGTTAACACTTTCTCAGTAAAAACATAACATGACTTGTAGGAAGAACATACATCATTTCAAAATCATAGTTTGTTTGATTTTTTATTTTATTTATTTTATTTTATTTATTTTTTTTTCCATTTGTTTGTTTGGTTTATGTATATTATACCAGTATATTTCTCATTTGTAGTCTTTCTATCCAGTCAGTCTCGTTAGAACTTACATGTCAGGAGGTTTAAATGTTTTAAAAGGATTTCTTTTTTTACTGTTACTGCTGGGGGATTAAAGGAGAAAAAAAAGTTAAATCTGCTTTATATAGGTCCTGATACATGAATGTTGACAATGTCTTATCATAAAATCTTATCAACACTTTATTGGGACCGTTGAGTAATGGTGACCTGATAACAGTAACAACAGCTATAGAGAGAATAATGTCTTTTTTTTTTTTAGATTTGTAGCCAAACCATGTGCCATAGCCCTCAATATTCAGGCCAATGGACCACAGATTGCCCAGCCAAATGCCATTCTGGAAAAGGTCTTCACTGCAATTACAAAGGTATGATTGTCCTTTTCTGGGATATGAATTGTTATGACCACGATTCTTAGTCTGAAATCATTTAGTTCCCTCTCTGTGGAGTTTGAGAACTAACATTTGACTAGCCTCAGGCCTGAATGCATGGAAAGCTCGCAGGCACTGTGACTAAACAGAAAGGGAGAAGCCAAACCCACGTGGGCATGTTGGAGGCCTGTGTGTTCACTCCCAAGTGTATGTGAGAAGCTTGGCCGTGAAGCGCAGTCTAGATCAGACGGTGAGGGCACTAATTCTCTGCATCAGTCTCACCGGACGTGAAGCAGTATGCATGTATGATGGTGGGGTGGGACTCTGTGGAGGCGACTGGGGGAGCTGAGGAATATGATGAATGTAGCTGTGAGGAGAAGTGCCCATGTGCTTACGGAGTTGTCCATATGGTCTAGCAGTTATGATACACAGGCCGATGTGAACAAACATGGGAACGATGGAGGGAAAGAAGGGCTGTCATGTGAAGCCTTGAAGAGCGAGGGTCCAGAGAGTTACAAAGTACAGATTCACTGTAAAGAAAATGGGAGAGGCGATGATCACTCTGGTGAGAGTTAAAGTCCAAACCAGGGTGGAAAGAGGCGAGCAGGGGAGAGGGGAAGAATGTAGAGGAAAGATTGTCATCCACTGTCAGCTGGTCTCTCCTTCTGAACAAAAAGAGGAGGAAGAAGACAGACATCAGAAACCCTCAAGTGAAGGCCGTGAAAATGCAAGTCACAGCATTGGAATAGCTTATTCTTACTTAAATCTCTCTCTCACCTTACTCTTTCATGGAAAAGAAAGGAGAAGCATAACAGTCTGTGAGAAATATTGTGCGTTTGTGTGTTAAATGGTTTGTTTTCCTGCTTTCATTTTTCTGGGAGAATTTCTCAGGCTTCTAAGATGTGATTTGACCATGTTAAGCAAATTTTATTCCTTTTTTGGTATTTGTATTGCTAACCATTTTTATTGGTTCTCTCTTGTTGTAAAATAATTAATTCAAATTTTCAAACATGTTTGTTTATTTTATGGTCTACATTTCTGCCAGGATTCTCTAGGGTTTTCCCCTCTATTCTTTTAAAAATGATATTCTTCTCAAGAAAGTGAAAGAAAGCACACAATGTTTTTTATATCTCTGCTAAGAAGAAGAGTAGATTAAGTGGAATTTTAGGAAGAAGAGTAGTATAAATGGAATTTTTGTTTTGTGGGATGATTTTAGACTGCCACTTTCTAACCTGAAGGGACTCATGTGATAGAATGTTTAAAGGAAGAAAATATTAGGAAGGAAATTGCATTTTTATTTTTTAATTTGTTGCAGCTAACACATTTTCTCCCTCTAAAACAGCAGATGTGTAGGGAGTTATAAGGGCTTCCCAGGTGGCTCAGGTAAAGAATCCGCCTGCCAATGCAGGAGATACAGGAGATGCAAGTTTGATCCCTGGGTCAAGAAGATTTCCTGGAAGAGAAAATGGCAGCCCTCTCCAGTATTCTTGCCTAAAAATATCCAATAAACAGAGGAGCCTGACAGGCTATAGTCCCTGGGGTCACAAAGAGTCGGGCATGACTGAGTGCCTAAGCGCACACACACACAGGGAGTTTATAGGTTTATTTTTTTACATGTGATTACAGCATATTTGTATTTACCTTGTGAACTACTCTAAATGCATAAAAATGAGTTTTCTACCCAAATGTTACACCTCCCTTTAGGAATCCTGCGGTAGATGTTTTATTTCCCTTGCCTTATGTTTATTATGGTTACTGGGGAATTTTTCTCTATAAAGGTAATGAAAGGATTTTGCAGCCAGGTTGACTGCCCTGGAGGATATTTGCTTCTAGCTAATTTTAATGATCATATTCTCTTGGTTTCCAAGGTGATTCTTTTAGAAATTTCTACATGATTAAAGCAGAAGCCTCAGGTTTTGAATTAAATGCAGCCAAGGCTGGAACTGTTTTTCCCCGAATTCTTTGTAGTTCGCCAGTGTTATCTGTGATATGAGAAAGGAATAGATCAGCTGACCAGAATACAAGCAGCAGGATTTGGAGGGTTTGAACAATGATTGTCCAGCATCCTGGCCTTGACCATGGTTCCAGTTCATCTTTGAAGAAGGGCATGTTTATCTTCTTTCAAGTGTGAAGGGATATCCCCTTAGAACCCTTAAAATCTACCCCATGTAGGACTAGCTACATAATTTTTGGAGGCTAGTGCAGAACTAAAAATGCAGGGCCCCTTGTTCAAAAAGCAAAAAAAAGTGCCATTAAAGGCATAAAAAGAGAAAGCCTTTTCCTTTCTTGTGTAGTTTGTCTCTATTTTGACCTGTCAAGATTTTTTATTTGGTATTTAATGCCATGCCTCTTAGGCATACTCATGAGGCAAGTGAAAACCGTGACAGATTCCCAGGAACCCCCACCCTGTGATTTAGTGCACACACAGCCCACTAGCTGCTGAGTTCTGTCTCTTTCCAGCTCCTGGGCTAACATGTCTATTCTTTTCAGGCCAGAGGGAGAAGTTGATACAGGCCTCTCCCCTTCCCGTAAGCCCACTGTCCCAACCCATAGTGGACAGGGGACCTGCCAGTGTACTGCGTTCTCTGCTCCAAGACATACTAGGTACCTGGATTGGAGGATTGGAGTGAGCAAGAGGCTCAGCCCCACCGAGTCAGCCACTAAGGACCTTGGGATGCTGCTGGCCCAGGGAGCAGGAGGCTGATCATGGGGTGTGAACACCTAATCCCACTCCTTTGCATGTTCGCACCTAGGGCAGCAGTAGTCAGCAGGAGTGGGCAGGTGAAGCCTGGAGGCCCTGGGGAGCTAGAGGACAGGGAAGTAAGGCCCCCAGCCTCATCTGGGGGCAGTGACGGGGCTGTGTGTGAGCCAAGACTCTGAACCCCTGACATAGGCTTCCCTGTCCCAGTGGGCCTCCTATACAAAACACCAGCCCCATAACACAGTTATCAAGAATTTCAGGATGGCAACCATAGAATTTTAAACCCCAAGTGTGAGCCTTTCTGAGTCTGGATTCCTGTATGAGTTCACTAGTCACATGCCCTGATTGAGCAATTTTCATCTGTGAAATTAGCTGATAAATGTGAACTTCATAGTCTTTGCTGTCTTTCCTGTTGAGGTAACATCTGCATGTCTTTTTCACTCTTTTTTTTCCCTCTGTAAATCTAAAATTTTATAAATATTTCAGAGAACCTACCTCTGTTGTAAAATAATTAAAAGTATTGGTTTTTGAGCAGACTTGAGTTGTATATTGGAGCATTGGCTCTGCTTATGTCTTTGGACTAAAAGTCAGTTAGTAGGTGAGGGAGCTTTTATTTGGGTCAGGAGCTCTCTCCTTTAATTTACATTAAGAGCACCTGTGGAATTAAATGTAGATTGCTGCATCTTATTTCTCGGAGAAGGCAATGGCACCCCACTCCAGTACTCTTGCCTGGAAAATCCCATGGATGGAGGAGCCTGGTGGGCTGCAGTCTATGGGGTTGCAAAGAGTCAGACACGACTGAGCGACTTCACTTTCACTTTTCACTTTCATTGGAGAAGGAAATGGGAACCCACTCCAGTGTTCTTGCCTGGAGAATCCCAGGGACTGCGGAGCCTGGTGGGCTGCTGTCTGTGGGGTCGCACAGAGTTGGACACGACTGAAGTGACTTAGCAGCAGCAGCAGCAGCAGCATCTTATTTCTAGAGATTATGATTCAGTAGATTTGTGATCGGGCTCAAATATCACCAATTATAAATTGTTAGACTCATTCAAATGAATGGCATGATTATTTTTCTTTAGTGAATATTTTGAGTTCATGTTTCTTAACTGATTATATCCAGAGTTATCTGAATGAGATAGATATGAATTAATCAATCATTTAATCTATTTATTTATATATCTTTCTAGCTTTTGGCATATATCTGTAATTGTAACAGCCTCATTTTCTCATCAAAGCAATTATTGAACCATTAAGGGTAAAATATATTTGTCAGCTCTGAAACTAGGTTTTATGATCTAGAGAACTATGAGATTATCATATCATAATCTGCTTTTGGTCTGTTTACACTGTATTTTAAAAATTACATGCAGGTTTCTGATTAGTTTTTCCTGATTCTCCTCTTATGCCTATTTCTCTTTTTCTTTTCCACCCTTGTATGTTTGTTTGTGGAAATTAACCTGGGTATTTCTGGTATAAAAATATTTATGTAAGTCAGAATTATTAATTTTTTTCCTTGGGAGTCTTAAAAAAGGAAAAGAACTATGGAACAATTATAAAACATGACAATAAAAAATACACAAAAAAAGAAGGAAAATCTTACAATATTTACTTTTTGGCAAACTAAGAGATATATATCTCCAGATTTCAAAATATATATAGAAAGCCTAAATAAAAACAGTTGGGGTTGGGCAGAAGCCAAGAAGGAGCAAGTAAAAAGCTTAAAGTGTGGATAGAGGACCCTGTAGGAATAGATTTCAGGAAAGTCAGCAAAAATGACAGCTCCTAAAGGTAAGACCAAAATTCTATCCACTGTTTGCAACAGTAGGTATAGCAACAAGGCTGGTAGATGCCTTCCTAGACTTAGTTTAATTCAAAGAAGTGGAAGAACTACACAGAAAACTACAGGTGGATGGCACATTTTCAGGAGGCAGTGTTCTTTGGAGGCAAGGTGTAGGCTACCCACTCCATTAATCTTGGGCTTCCCTGGGGGCTCAGACGGTTAAGAATCCACCTGCAATGCAGGAGACCTGGGTTTGATCCCTGGGTTGGGAAGATCCCCTGAAGAAGGAAATGGCTACCCACTCTAGTATTCTTGCCTGGAGAATTTCATGGACAGAGAAGCCTGGCAGGATACAGTTCTTGGGGTCACAATGAGTCAGACACACCTGAGCGACTTTCAGTTTCATTTTTCTAAACTACAGAAGTACCCTCCCTATACTACAAGCAGCTGGTCAAGAAAATCCAACTCAGTCAATGATGGGTAATAAAGGAAAAACACACAGAATCAAAGACAAGA